CTTTTTAAAAGAAAAAAAAAAAAAAAAAATCTCTTGGGGGAAAAAACACGAACACGCACCTAAACCCAGACCCGCTTTGGGAAGGAAAGGAAAACCGGAGATTTACAAAGCACTCTTCCCGATCTGGAAAAATTCCCCCTCGGGAGAGCRGGACGGGCTGGGGACCGGACACCGGGCTTGGGACCCCGGGGTGTTTCGGGGAGCGCAGCCCCCTCCTCCTCCTCCGCCCGTTGTTCTGATCCCCGCACCCGCCGCTCCCTTTTTCCACCTCTCTGGCTGTGACCACCCCCGTTTTCTCCCCGGGATTTTCAGCCCGGAGCCCCCCATTCCCCTCCCGGCAGACAACGAAATGCAGCCCCGCGGAGCGCGGAGGGGAACCCCCGGCGCCTTCCCCTCCCTCCCGTCCCTTCTGGGGCCAAATCCGGGCGCGGCTGCTCCTGCGTGTCCCCCGCGGGTGGGGACACCCCAAAGCCGCGCTCTGCCCGCAGCCCAGCGCCRGGGCTGCGCGGGGATGAAGGCTCTCCTCATCCTCCCTAAGGTGCGAATCGCCTGCTCCCCCAAATCTTCCGTCGGGAGATGCTGGAGCATCAGCTGCCGCGGTGGGATTTGAGGAGGGGGGTTCGGCACMGCGCACACGCAGCCCCCCGCCGCAGCCCCTCGCCGCCGGCGCTCCAGCTCTCGCTTTTCTCCCCCTTCCCAGGAGGTTTGGTACCAAATGCGCCGGCTGCTCCCAAGGGATCTCCCCCAGCGACCTSGTCCGGAAAGCCCGGAATAAAGTCTTTCACCTGAACTGTTTCACCTGCATGGTCTGCAACAAGCAGCTCTCCACGGGCGAGGAACTCTATATCATCGACGAAAACAAATTTGTTTGCAAAGAGGATTATTTGAACTCTCCCAGTTTGAAGGAAGGCAGCCTCAACTCAGGTACGAGCGGCTCAGCCCGCCCACCGCTGCGTCCCGGCTGTCGGTTCCTCCCGGCGGCGCCTCCCGGCCGGGAAAAGAGGTTTGGATTTGTGGGGTGAGGGGCTGCACCCCGCGGCCGGCCCGATCCCGCCGGTAATCCCCGCCAACGGCACCGGCAGGAGCCGAGAGAGCCGGGCACAAACCCCGAACTGCCGGTACCTCCCGGTGGAGATGCCTCCCGGCGGGAAGGAGGTTTGGATTTGCGGGATGAGGGGCTGCACCCCGCAGCCARTTGATCCGCCGAGAGAGGGAGGGATTTGGGGTGAAAGGTTTCGAAACGGGCGGCAGCCTCTGTGACACCCCCACGTGGGACGCGGACACGCGTGGGATGAGCTGTCCCCTCCAGCCTTGGCTCCCGCCCCGCTCACGGCCCCTACRGCAGCGGGGACGCGGGGCGGGGGCACCGAGATCCCCCCGGGGCTGCCTCGGGAGCCCCTCACTCCCGGAGCCCCCCCTGCGAGTGTGCCCGGTCCCCCCGCGCCGCGGGCCTGATCCTTCGCCTCCTTTCACCCAGAGGCAAAGCTCCCATTTGACTTCCTTGGAAGCTGTCTCTGCGTCAGGAGAGCAGGGCCAGGCCCCCTCCTGCTGTCCCAGCCGTGCCGGGCGCCCCTGCTCACCCCCTTCCGTGGGCTCTCTCTCCGTCCAGCACCCGGGGCCGGATCCTGCCACGCCAGTCAGTGGGGCCGCTGCTGTGAGCGAGGCGAGTAGAGCTTGGCCTTGGGGGGGTGCTGGCTGCAGGGTCCCCCGGGGGGGCAAGCGGTGCCTGGGGGCGGGGGGGTCAGCCAGGCTCCAGCCAGCGACCGGGGACCGCCCAAAGCCCGGCAGGGACCGCCTGCATTCTTCCCAGAGGCGCATCCCGCTTCCCGGCACGGAACGGGGGGACAGGGGGAGCGCCGGGGGCCGCGGGGGCCCGGGGGGTCACCCCCTCCCCAGCTCGCCCCCGCCGGCGCGATGCGGTGCACAGGGCTGGAGCTCGCCTGGAGCTCCGCGCGGTGTTGGGGAGCGATGCTTTGGGGGAACCAGCGGGGCAGAGACCGCCTGCACCCCTTGCTGCTCTCCGGCACCCCCCAACCCTTTTCCTGGAAGCAGCCGGGCCGGGTGGAGCAGGGAGGGCAGAGGAGAGGGGGGCCGATCTCTCCCCTAAGTCATCCACCCCCTCCCTTTCCTCTCTGGGTCTCCTTTACAGTGTCCTCATGTACAGACAGGAGTTTGTCCCCGGATCTCCAGGACCCCATGCAGGACGACACCAAGGAGACGGACAACTCCACCTCCTCGGACAAGGAGACCACCAACAACGAGAACGAGGAGCAGAACTCGGGCACCAAGCGGAGGGGACCCCGCACCACCATTAAAGCCAAGCAGCTGGAGACCCTCAAAGCTGCCTTCGCCGCCACCCCCAAACCCACYCGCCACATCCGAGAGCAGCTGGCCCAGGAGACCGGCCTCAACATGAGAGTCATCCAGGTAAGACAGCCCCGGCCCTCCGCGAGGGAGGAGAAGGGTTCCCGGGTAGTTCAAGGCTGCGAGCGTCTCCCCCAGGTGCCGGGAAGGGCTTGGGACAACGAGGTTGGTCCCTAAAGGAATGGGGACAGGCGAACCCCATTTGTCCCCTGCCAGCGGTGGGTGAGCGGGGATCCCCCGCCCCACGGGAAGGGATGAAAACCATTCCCAAAACGCGAGCCAGCCCGGCTTTCCGCGGGGCCGGGCAGGATTCCSGGCGCGCCAGGAGATGGATGCTCCRGCTTTGTGGAAGCGAGGAGCGTCCATGGCGCTCTGCAGGCAGCCGGCACTTCCTCACCGCACCGCCCCCGTGAAGAAAATCCCTGCGGAAATGTAGGGATTAATGGGCTTTAATAGAGGCATTAATAGGAGAGGACTCTCCGGCTTTGCCGCTAGCGGGGCTGCGATTCCCGGCTCCTGGGAGCACAAGTCCCGCAGGAGAGCGCTGCGCTCGTCCCCCTGCGCTGCCCCATCCCTGGGGGAGTGAGACAATAATCCAGACGCCCCGCCAGRCTGCTGAGGCGTGCGGTTCGGATGAGGCAATGCCCGTGGAGAGGCGGCCGCGTCTCCCCTTTCCCTTTTATTCCCATCCTCACCGCCGGCTGTTCTGAGTACCTGCCTGCTGCCGCAGGTGCTCATCCCCCCGTTCCCCGCTTTCTGCCTGCTTCTGCCATCATCCAGAGTCCCATCCCCTTCTTCCTCCCCGCTTGTCCTCCTTTCCTGCCCCTATCCATAGGGGAAATTTCCCCCTCCCGTATTTTCCAGCGGCAGGGACTGAGAGCCCGAGGATGYGCATGTGGAGATGCAGTTGGGGGAAGGAGGGGCAGGATTTTAATTAACCTGATTATTTGTAGGGWGCGGTGTCCCCACGCAGCTTTTGAGGCATCAGCAGCAGGAACGGGGGGTGGGTGTCATTAAAAAACACCCAGGCGGGTGCGAGATTTCCAACCCTTCCCCTGCCCAGACTTTGGGGGGTGGGATGTCGCTGACCCAGAGTGGTCAGCTCGCCCATYCGCGGTGGGCACTGACACCAGCCCGGCCACAGGTGTGGTTCCAGAACCGTCGGTCGAAGGAGCGGCGGATGAAGCAGCTGAGCGCGCTGGGCGCCCGCCGGCACGCGTTCTTCCGCAGCCCCCGCAGGATGCGGCCCCTCGGCGGCCGCCTCGACGAGTCCGAGATGCTCGGCTCCACGCCCTACACCTACTACGGAGGTGAGGGACCGCCGGCCCTGTCCCCGCTCTTCTCCTTTGTTCCTCATATCCCGTTTCCCCACGGCCTTTCCCTTTCCCCCCGCCCTTGCACACACGCGTGCCCGCAGCMGCGCACACGCAGAGCCAGGTCCACGCACCCCCACGCCCCCCCGGCATTGCGGGGCCCCTCTCCCGCGAACAAAGCCCCAGCTGCGGGGCTTTTGTCCCCCTTTCAGGCCGCATTTGTTCCAATTACCTCCCGGGCCCGCAGCATATGGAAGGTCAGTGCGGCCCGGCCGCCCCCCCGCCGCCCCGACGGGACGGGATGGGCGCAGCGGGGCGGCCCCGCGCCCCCCCCCAAATGCTGCATTTTCAAAGCCTCCCATCTGACCAGGGGCTTTCCAGGCACCCCTTGTGGCCCTGCAGTTGGTTTCCAGATCCCTTCCAAGCTGCTTAAACACATACATAATTTTCCCATTATATATATTCCTCTCCACTTTATACATATTTATATTTGTGTATTTTTTCTATCATATATAATTCCCCCTTATATATATTTTTTATATTTTCCCATTATGTATATATCTTTTCCCAATATATACTTGTTTTTCCCCATTCATTTTACACCTGTCTTTTCCCCATTCCCCTTTTACATATATATCTACATATATAATTTTCCCCCTTAATTTTTATTATTAAATTATTTTTTCCTTAATTTTTATAATTACGCACTAAATTGAGCCCATTTTCCCGGCCGCCTCCGCTCTCCCAGCCCCGGATTCCTCACTCCGGGCTGAGCGGAGGGAGGGTGATGGGCAGTGCAGCCCTTCGGACGGGTTTAATTCTCTCGGACACCCTTTGGGCCCCACATCCCTTTGAGAGTGTTGGAGGGGACAGCGCAGGGCTGGTTTGGGGTGCAGCGGGATTTCCGGAGGTTTTTACCCCCAGGAAACCAGATCCATCCTTTTTTTTTCCCCTCTCCCCACAGATTACCAAGGTGACTACTACGGGCCGGGAGGCAAYTATGACTTTTTCCCCCACGGGCCGCCCTCCCAAGCCCAGTCCCCGGCCGACTCCAGCTACCTTCAGAACTCAGGACCCGGCTCCACACCCCTGGGACCCTTGGAGCCCCCCCTAAGCGGACACCACTCCTCAGAAAACCAAAGGTACACGGATATGATCTCGCACCCCGACACCCCCAGCCCCGAGCCGGGGATGACGGGCTCGCTGCACCCCATCCCGGGGGAGGTGTTCAGCGGGGGGCCCAGCCCGCCCTTCTCCATGTCCAGCAATAGCGGCTACAGCGGGGCTCTGTCGCACCCCAACCCGGAGCTCAGCGAGGCGGCGGTGTGGTAGGCCCGGCGTGGGCACGCGTGTGCGTGTGTGCAGGGGGAAACMCCCCCTCGTCCCCTCCCAGCCCACGCGTGTCCCCTCCCTCGTCCCCGCAGCCCGATGCCAAAACGCACCCCGGCATCCCGCCCATCGTCCCCATCACCGCCCCCCTCCCGGGACATTGGGGTCACCCCGCTACCTCCCCCCTCCCGGCGCCTTCCCCCCCGACACTTGGGGGGCACAAGGAAAGGTGCCCAGCCCTGAAGACCCCGCCGGAATCGGGACCAGCGCCTCTCGGACCAAAGCTGAACTCGCCTGGACACAGGTCCCACCGCCCCGGCGGCTCCGGGGGAGGGGGCTGGGGCAGGGCTGCCCCCTGCTAATTAGCATCCTTTTTAATTATCCCCTACACAGGAAGGGGGGGGGGGGGATGGGGAATAGCAGGAATAAAATCCCCCCCCGGCTCCTCCTTGCCCTTATTTTTATTGTTCCCGTTTTACCCGCGAGGAGAAGGTGGGTTCGGAGCCGGTTTTTGGCGATGGGGAGGAGGAGGGGGCTGCGCGGGGGTCAGACCAGGAGCTGCCCCCCTGACTGGCTGAGATTGGGCTCCCACGTGGTGGGAAAGGCACCAGAAAGAGGCAGAAACAGGAAAAACGCAACAACAACAACAACAAAAAACAAAAACCCAAACAAACAATAAACCCCAGAACTAATCCAACCCAACCACCACAGCTGAAATTTCACCCGAGCCTCCACGCCGAGTCCCACCCCAACGATTCCCAGAGGCTCCGCCAATTTGAGGATGTATTATAGTTTTTGCTTCTAGTTTCTTTATTTTGTATAAAGGAGAAACAAATAAAGTATGTTTTTGTGTTTACTGATTATTTATTGTACTTTAGTCATCGGAGGCTCCGAATTTTTCTATTTTGAAGGCAGGGAGGGGATGGCACCGGGGAGGGGGGTGAGAGGATAGAGAGAGGGGGGGCAAATAAAAGGAAGGAGAATGGAAAAGGAAAGAAAAAAAGTTGTTTTCTGAAAGCGTCGTGGGTTTCCTGTCCCCGCTGCCTCTTGCRGAGGCTGTTAGTGTGAATGGCTCTTGTTGTTCAATGTGAATAAAAAACCTTTTAGTTACCTACTGTTCGGTCACCTGGTCCCTTTCATTTTATTTTATTTTAATTTGTTTTAACGCAAGACCACGAAAGATGCTGGCCGGGCTCCCCCGCCGTCACCCCAGCCCYGCCTGGGGTCTGGGGGAGCAGCCCCCACCCCTGCCCCGGGTGAGCGATGTTCACCTGTACCAGGTGATGCTGCACCCCCGTCCTGCCCATATTCCCCATCCCGCACTCTCTGGCACTGGGAAGGGGCACATCGCCCACCTCCCCACCCTTGCCCGCAGCAGACAGCACAAWGCCCAATTCCCTTCTCCTGGGGGGCACCACGACCCGCCCAGGGCAGCCCTGAGGGCAGCTAGAGGGGGATCACCCCAAGGGGGGGGGTTCATCACTGCCCTCAGCAGCTTTTCCCCCATTCTCCCTGGGAATACTGGCGGCAGGAGCGGGGGCACCCCAACTCACTCCCCTCCTCTCTCCTGCTTTTTGTTCCTTGCTCTCTGARACACAAAAATAAAAAGTCCCGGGCAGGCTGCAGCTCTGAACTAATATTTAAAATGCAAAATCATGGCAGAGTTTTCCCCCCCAACACCCCACCCCAACCCGCTCCTTGTCTTGCAGTAAAACGATATAAACAGAATAAATTACCTTCCCTTGCTGGCTTACGAGAGTCCCTCTCTCCTGACCTGAATTTTAAGTCCTGGCTCGGTTGTAGCACGGAGCAGCGATGATTTATGGAAAGCCAGCCACTTCTCTGCATATTTTCTCTGTTCAGCCAAGTGGTGGAATTTATCCTTCCTATACCATTACTGGCATTAATAACGGGGTGGCCAACGAGCCAGGCCGACCCCCGAGGGAGCCGGGGCCAGCACAGGCACTGATCTCCCCAAACACACCAAAAAATGCACCTTTCCACGGGTGGGGAAACTGAGGCAGGAGCGCAACCCAGCACTGCCAGGCTGTCTACCAGGTGGTAGCAGATAAAGGGGACTTTTTATAGGGGCAGGGCGATGTGTTGGCAAATGACCCACTCCCGGCACCCTTTTGAGGAATATAAAACAACACAAGATCAGCCACCGGGTGAACACCGGCTGATATTATTATTATTATTATTATTATTATTATTATTATTATTATCATCGTTATTATTTCAAAGCTCAAGGAACAGACCTGAGGGTTGTTTTGAAGCTGCTGGAGCACCTCTCCACTCTGAGACCCGGAGGGAATTGAGGGTGGTGCTCCAAGCTGGCACCTCCCGGGCTGGAGACTCGAGGGAGGATGGGGCTCAGTGGGAGCAGGGATGATCCCCTGGCACAGAGGAGCTTTAGTGGCCGGGCCCTGTAGCTCTGAGCGGGGTGTAAGAGCCAAATTCGGGGTCCCGGTCYCCCCAGAGGTCCCAAGAGGGCACCAACACTCAGGATTCCTGCCTGTCACCCTCTGCAGGGTGACCATGGGTGACTCCCCAACAGCCCACCCCCAGACACCCCGCACCCCCACATCCCTGCCAGGGACACCCAAAGCCCTCATCAGGGCAAGGAGGGGGGAAAGCTCCCTGTTGGGGTGCTCCGGGAGTCACCCCAAACCCCACAGTCATGCCCATGTTATGATCCTTCCATGGGATTGTGCTGAGGAAACACCACAGAGAGCTTCTGAGTCCCCCGGCCTTCCCCGAGCAGAATCCCAGAAATAAATTCCTTTTTAAAAGCTGTTGGGCAAATACCAATGCTATTCTTTTCTATTTTTTTCCCCGACCTTTTTTTTTTTTTT